GGAAAAAATTATGTTAAAGGTGACAAAGGTTGACTTTGTCATTGAAAAGGAAAAAAAAATAGCTTTTCTATTTATTACCATGTTTGGAAGTTGCATACAGAAGATAGAAGCTAACACGAAAGATACACTGGATAGGTTAGAAAGTAAACACCACTCATAAGCACAAATTTAACTAAACCAAGATTATACATTGCTTGAACATATTTCCAAGTTTGAGAAAGATTGAATAAAAAAAAAAACAAGACAAGGAAAACGACAACGATGATGGCGACAACAATAATGGTGACAATGACAGACAGAGTAACCTATACCTCACCTCATTATCATTATAGGCAAGGTAAAAATGATTTAGAAACAAAAACAAAATGAAACTGTCATCTAAATTGCCAACTTACTTATTAGTGACCATCCTCATCCCCATCCAGTCTGATGGAAAGACGTCTTGTTTGACTAACTCCTTGAACACCATGAATATTCTGGTGATGAACTCCTTGAGCGGTTTTCTTTCACTGAAACTGCTCAGTAGTTTCTTAAAATGCTCCTCTCTCATGAGTTTCAGTATTGCGATGAAACAAGCAACAAAGGGTCCCTATGGCAACAAAAAGAGTGATCATTAGAGAAGCCTGTCTAATCATAGACCCTCCAGTAGAAATGGAGGGTCTATGGTCTAATCAAGGTATATTTTTTATTTGACCTCCCTTGAAAGCATCCAAGAGGACTAAGGAGTTGATCATTGTAACCTCTAGAAGGATGGAGATAGTAAAAACATGCCGAGTATTCCTATTCCTTCACTTAGTTTTAAGCTTCATTTTCAAAATGATATTGTTGTGAAATATGCCTTTGCATATTCAAGTAAGTGTGATAGATTTTTTTTTAATTTTCCCAGGAGAATTGTTTTTCTCAACAAATCTACACCCCCCCCCTTCCAGTTTCTTCAACCTCTATTACCAGTAAATATCGTTCAGTAGTTTCCAACTGTAATTACTTAACTGTGCAAAGAAGGCTGTATATTGGAATGGCTTATACTCACTGCGAGTTCTCCTTGTCTGTTGATTGTCAGTAAAGTCTGTAATATATTATCTAACAGTATGTGTACAATTTGGCCTATTTCACCACTGGTAGACTGGGTCTGCGGGTGACAATATTATAAATTGGTAAATAAACCTAAGAACAAAAATTAACATTAACATTTTCACCACCAGACTTTCTTGTCCAAATTTTTCAGCACTTTTTTTTTTTACGTCCTTCAATATTTCTGGAAATAAACTCTAATTTTGGAGCCAACAGACAATACTTGAGCAATTTTCAGTTTTACTCAAACAAATGTGACTATTTTTGTCCCAATCTTCAGATGGAAAGTACAGACTAAACTGGATTGGTTTTGTGAGTTAGTGATGAAAAGAGAGAACTGGTGGTAAAAAGGTTAAATATTGGATTAATTTTGATTGCAATGTAATATAACTGAACAATTTTAATAGTGTAAAACAGCATAACTCATTGTTTCTTTTTTTAGTAAGTTTATTAAATCCAAAAGATTGACCGGTCACTGGTAGCATAGTGGTTGTTGCACCAGACTCATGATTGGTAGACCCAAGTTCAAATCCAACCTTAGGCTGAACATCAAAGGGTCGACCCCTATCCTGGGTGAGTGTGCCACAGACTCAATGGGCAGGCCAATTCCACTGGCCGAGATTCATTCACTTACGAATGCGACTTTGGGGGAACCTTGGTTAAGGTCCGCAGGTGCTTGTGTTCGACCTGATTGACACCAGGATAGCGCATTACAAATTGCCATTTGACAGGGAGATTGCCAAACAGCCCTGTCATGTAGTCCCAAACATGAATATGACTTCTGTGGCAAAATGCACTATGTGTCAGCACTAGCACTTGCAATTTGCACATACAGAAAAAAAGTCAGGAGAGACAACAGTGACACTCAATGTCCGGAACGTCGCCTGGCACAAAAAAAATATTTAAATATTGATCCTTATATTTGACTCAATTGGTGTACATTACTTCTACTGGTGTTCGATGCGTCAATTTGCATAATTTTGCCTCTACATACGTTTGAATAAATTTAAACAGCTCTACTTGATAGACACTGACAAGATATCCTGACAACAGTTTTATCAACTAACCTGCGCTTTTTGTTCCATTTTCTGCATCAGAGACAGAACGTCTCCCAATAGTTCTGCACAAAGCTTGAGTTCCTGCCTTTGCATTAGATGTAACTGAATATGTTTTAGAAAAACTGGCAGTAGTAACGACCTTGATTCTTTGAAATATAATAAAAAAATAAAATAACTTAATTAAACTCCCATGATGCACTGCATTGTTCCCAGTAATAAATAACAATTTTGAATATTTATTTTGGTTGACTTGAATCTTACCTTCCTCTTCAAACAGTCTACCATTCACAGTATCTATCATACACCTTAGTTTTGCTGCATGTAGATCAGTTGATGCGAATTCCCTAGCCACATTGTTTATTAAATTATTAATATATGTAGCAACTTCATGGGAAGTAAAAACTGTTTGTCCATTTCCTTTATCGTGTGTTAAACTGTCATATATAGTACTGAAATTACCAAGCAGTGTTATCTGTCAATAAAATAAATTAAATGAATAAAAGGGTGAATTTAGTGATGAATCCAAGTATGAATCAGAGGATGAATACAAGGCTGAATACAGGATGAATCCAAGCATGAATACAAGGCTGAATACAAGTATAGAATCCAAGTATGAATACCAGGGTGAATCCAGGATGTATACAAGTATAGAATCCAAGTATGAATACAAGGGTGAATCCAGGATGAATACAAGGCTGAATCCAAGTATGAAAACAAGGCTGAATCCAAGTATGAATATAAGGCTGAATCTAAGATGAATACACGACTGAATCCGAGTATGAATACAAGGCTGAATCCAGAATGAATACAAGGCTGAATCTAAGTATGAATCCAGAGATGAGTAAACCCACAAATGAATACAAGCATGGATACAGGGATGAATTTAAAGTTGAATTCAAGCAAGAGTCTAAATAAATCCTGGGACGAGCTCAAAACAAACCTAGGGAAAATACAAGTACAAATCTTGGCAAGAATACAAGGGTGAATCCAAGAATAAATACAAAGGTGAATCCAAATAAAATCCAAAAAAATCCAGAAACAAACAAATAAATAGAAGGGTGAATCATTGGACAAATACAAGAATAAACTTACTTGTACTGAGCACATGTTCTGCTGTCTGTGATACCATTGTATTCATTGATAAAAATAACTCACTTATGGTGGTTTTAAATTCTTTCTCTTCAAGTCCCCCAGCATGCCTATAGGTGTATAATTATTTAAAACCGTGTTATCGATAATCCACAATTTTGCAAAATGTGACATTCTACGAGTGGTATGATTAGTTTCATTTACATACCTTTCATATAATAGTCTGGATTGAATAATAAATTTAAATAAATAATGTAATGCTCTGAAAGAACTTTGTATTTGTTGTTGTTTCTCGTGACTTGTTAAGTTGGGGTTAACAGCATCCTCTGCACACTGACGTAGACAGCTAATAAGAGGTCTGAAATATACAAAATACCCCATTAAATTACAATAATCATTATTGAATAATTACTGTAGAATACTTTATTTTAGCTGGAATTAATTTGTGCTGAAACGAGATTTCGGGTGTTTTGTATAGAATTTATTTTCACTGATTTTTGACAAGTTGAATGTAAAATACAGGAAAAAAGGTATATTCTCTGAATTTTTCTTTCACTGAATCATTCCATCAGCGAAAATAGCAAAAATTAATTCCAAGCGAAAATAAAGTATTTTACAGTATAGCGATAAAAACTAATTTATAGAAAGCCAGGTTCGTTCAAAACGTTTTGAAGGAAGACAAGACATAACAAGCACTGGGGAGTTTCAACGCTAGCGCACAGCATGCTTAGACTAACCTGTGAGCTAATGTAGCGGCGAAGTGTTTCTCAATGTATGTATCTAGATCCGTTCTTAAATTCCGATACTTGATGTCACTAAGTATACCGATGATGAACACCTGAGAATAAACACACAAAGTTTTCAGTGATGACAAGCCCCTATAAGCTAAAGTCATTATAAAGCGACACAGTACCAAGCCGTAATGATATTGCCTTTTTGAAATCATTAAGTCAGTGAGACGAAGATTAAAACTAAAGGTTTGACATTTGATCCAGATAAATAGGTAGGAGGACAAAGTAAAAAAACAAAAAACGGCTGCCTGTCAGCCATCTTGAATTGGATAAAAATAGTTTGCATCATATGATGTATTGGGATAAAATTGGTTAATGCATGACTGGAAAATGCAGAAAGCCTCAAAATTATTTGTTACGGTAAAAGAACAACCTGTATTTTTTACCATTTACAATGTAAACCCTATATGAAGACAAGCTTAGCCTTTTCACTACCAATTACCACTTGTCATCACAAATTCACAAAATGGTTGCGTTTATAGTCTACACTTCAGAAGATTGGGACAAAAAACGCCAAATTTTTAGAGTAAAAACTGAAAATTGACTCAAATTTTGTCTGTTGGCTCCAAAATTAGGTTTCATTTCCAGAAATATTGAAGAATATAAGAAAAAAGAAAAATTTGGTGGTGAAAGAGTTAGAAACATCAACTCTTGCACATTAGATGTAATACACAATACTTATTAATAAGATTACTTTACATGATTGTGGTGGGTGCATATTGTCATTATTGACATCATTAAACACAGACGTCACAAATACTTACCAGTGCTTGAAACACTAATTTGTCAAACGATTTGGCGTCATCATCCAATATATTGAACAATGTATCTATAATATCTTGACACTTCACGATATCTTCCCACTTATTCTCAGAAATCGTTGTAAAATATCGTGGATTCGTTGGGGGTTTTCTTTCCATTTTAGTAATGCTACTAAGTCAACTATAGAAACGGGATGAGCATAATTATTTTAATGTTGTAAACTAACAACGAATGACAATGTAATCCATCAGAGTAATAAATTTGATCAGAAACTTGTCGATAGCAAGAGTGATGATGAGAAAAGAATTATTGGGTAAAGAAAACAAATTGAACTTTGATGAAAATTTCATGTTTATTGATTATTCATGATATACATATAATGTTTAATGGAAATACTGGAATTAATAGACTATGTATATAATGACTGTGACGACAAATACGATAAAAAAACAGCGAGTCATTCTTTATTCGGATTACATTTGACTTATCAATGCTTCCAAAAGTACTTTTTAGTTTTATTATACTTTACAAATTTCATGAAGAGAAAATTGCTAAATTTTGTAAAAACGAAATTCTGTTTTCATCAACACATATTATTGAAATAGCTAGCTACGAAAATCTACACAGTTCCCAATATATATTTAAAATTCTATTATTCAAGAAAATATTTATTTTTATGATAAACTACAAGGAAGTGGAAACTTACAAGGACATTCAAGAAAAAAAACTTACGATTTTGTGAGAGCTTTGTAGAACAAACTCTGGATCTGATGAAGAAACTTTCCTTGAGGTTTCTCAGATATGTTGCATTTCCAACAATAGATCCCGATACATGTCTCATATCGGCTTGACAACTCGGTAAATTGAGGTAAACATTCACATTGGTAAATTGGTGGACATCATCACACTAAGATCAATAAACCGCAAAGGATACCATTAACTCCTCGAGTGCCATATATTTTCCCCACCCAGAATCCAGTGCAAATATTTCAACATTTTGTAAAATTTTCAGTAAATTTCATCACCATTTTGGGCCATACAGACAGTGTCAGATATTGCCTTTGGTTTTTCATCAAAATATTTGTTAATTTTTAACAACATTTCATTTGGGGAGGAGCAGACTACGCAAAATAATTTTGTAGATGGTGCAAAAAATTGATAATGGCGCTCAAAGGGTTAGTATTACCGTAAAATTTGTATTAGAAGCCGCATCCCTAATAGAAGCCGCAAACATTCTTTTTTAACAATTGAGAACCAAAAATTCACCGCTTCTCATCTGTGTAGATTCTCTAATAGAAGCAGCATCTCCTCTGTTGCATTGTACCATTTTAATAGAAGCCACGGTTTCTAATACAGATTTTACAGTAACGATATTCAGTCATTGTGGCTGCTCATTGGTGTTTTCTTGGACAAAAAATGGTCATTAGTCGGTCATTTTAAAACAAATTAGAAAATAGGGATTAAAAACTCAAACAAGATAATAATGATGGCATGTACATAGTTTAAGTAGCATGAGATAAAATGATAACACACACCAAACACGATTACTTTTAAAATGGAAAGAAATGAATGAAACTTGCATGAAAACAAGGATGGGTAGGTGTGTGTACGAAGG